GGAGTGTAGGGGGCGGCGGGCGGGAGGGTGGGACTGGGAAGCTTGAAGAACCAGTTCTGAGGTTTTGTTTGTTTATCTTTAGATCACAGCAAGGTTCCTGTCCTCTCTCCCCCTCCGCCCCCCTCTTTTCTGGGGGTCTGACTTTGGATTTATTTTCTTTTGGGCAGTCATTGAAGTTTCATTCAATGTACTGAATTAAAAAAAATACACTCCACTTGTAGCTTTCCCGGGTTGCACTTTAAAACACCATCCAGTCTCACCCTCATCTGGAAATAATGCAAGCTTCTTTCTCTTCCCCCGCTCCCTCCTCCCCCACTTTTTTTTTTTCCTTTCCTTTTAAAGCCCCACATAACCTGAAGTCGGTAATCGGATGGAAAATGTGCTGGTCTTAGTTTACTTTCGTCTATACTCCCTTGCTGGGACAATATAGCTCGTAGAGATGTCTTTTTGAGAGAGGCATTTTGTGCACATGTGGTTACGGAGTCTTGAAATCTGTCACTGATGTGAACTTGCTGTAAGTGTCTTCAAAGGTACTGTTTATGTGCAATTTTTAGTATTTTTGTTGTGTGGATTTAAACATACAGGGAAGAGGACACCAGAGATCCTAACAGTGACATGAGTTCGTCTCTAAAGTCATTCATCCTCTCCCTCCCCCTTCCTTTTTCCAAGAAACAACTAATCACAAACCAGGCTAGAATTTCTAAAAGAGGTTAGAGGAGGAGGAGGAAAAGAGGCGGAGTGGGGTAGGGGATTGAGGTTAGAAGGGCCAGGATTTCTCTCATTCACAGGGTGGAAAAGTTGACATTGTCTAAGCCCTTCTGAATGGCTGGTAGTTGGTTACCCCGATTGTACCTCTACCTCCCCTCCCCCTCCACGTGACGGCCCAGGACACATGCGCACCCGACGCCGGCACATCTGCACACTGACGTCAGTGCTCTGCCTCCGAGGAAAAGCTGCCAATATTCTGCTGCAATTCAAAGTTGGCTGGGGGCCGGTAGTGAGACCTACTTCAACAAAACTTTGCTCCTCTTGTCTTCTTTTCTCCTGATACCTTTTGATGCTCTTCACATGTTATTTGCATAGCAAAGGCACTAAGCTGTCCAGGAAGAAAGGGCACCCTTTCCACCCCCAATAAGTCTTTTTTTTCTCCCTTCCTTTCTTTTTCCCTTTCCTTTCTTTTTTTTTTCTTTCTCTCTCTCTCCTTTTTTTTTTTTTTTGGCCGGGTGGGGGGCGCGTGCGGGAGAAAAAGGGGGTTTGCAAAGGCAGCAAACCAGGATGATAACCTGGTTGTATTGAAGGCATCTCTTTTTCTGCCAAATCGCAAAGTCCGTTCTCTAAAACCCGGGTTAGCCAGACTATAGGGTTTTATTCTGGCTGCAGAATAACTAACTGACTGCTGTGGCTTTGCAAAGGGGGGCAGAAAAAAAAAAGTTAAGAGAGGAGAAGGGAGTACGTGAGTCGTCCAGTGCAATCTCTATTGTTTGAAACTTACTTTTTATCAGAATTTGAAGATGAAAACGGTAAGGAAGACTTCACAATATTCAATGAAACCTTTTTTTTTTTATTAAAGCGTGTGGTTTGCTTGTCTTCCGAATAACGGGTAGAAAACCTTTTTCTCTCTCTCGCTGTGTGTGTGTGTGTGTGTGTGTGTGTGTGTGTGTGTGTATGTGTGTATGTGTTTTAATGGCAATGAGTGAGCTTAACTGAACTCATTTTACAGATAGAAATCTTTTTAACTCCAGACTACTCGGGGGTTGGAGAATTCTGGGTCTTGCAAGTATTTTATGATGCAAAAATATATACGTTTATTATAAGAATAGAATATGTTTTGTGAAATATGATTTAATTATAATTATTGTGGTCTTAACTCATCACCAAATAGTAATCAGGAAAGTAATAATGATGTGTATTTAAACTGATTTCCAGTTTTCTTAAAGAAAAACCTGCATTTTATGGTTTCATGTCAGTGTCTTAAGTAGCCAGACAAGTGCATAGTTTATGCCTGGGCTCAGAGGGCAGAATTAATGTGCTAGCTGGAGCCCCGATGCTCTAGGATATGTTAAGCTCTTAATAGGCTAATCAAAGAGATGGAAGCGTGTGTTTTTGATTTACTTTTGGCCACTTGGGACGTGCTAGACTCATATCCCTCCGGAGCCTTGAATATCGGGGTATGTCTGTTTATATGGTACATGGGATCAAAGTTTAGGGATTTGGAGGGGGGGGGGGTGAGTGCTGGAGGGGTTATTGGAAAGCTGCCTTCTGATAATGTGTACTATAATTCCTGTCTTTAGTAATTTCTTTCCTTGTTGTACTAGAAGAAAAGAGAGCGAGAGAGTGAGAAAGCGCACTGAGAGGGAACAAGAGAGTGAGTTTCTTACTCTTGTTTTTATTTGAGCTGCCGGTGCAACGCGTTTGGGCCAAATGCCAACTGTCTGGGTCACACGCGTTTTATCCAAATAGATTTAGCGCTGCTGTCTGGAAATGGGCTGCTGAATGTTAACTTTAGGATCAACTCAACCAGGGCAGCTCAGACTGTTACT